CTCTTTTTTTTTTCCCCTTTTCTTTTCTTTTCTTTATGGCTCATTGCCTTTCTACCGTCCTTCAAATCTCAAAAAGTATACCTTTCTCGGCCTTTTGGCTAGATCAAGTGTAGTATCTGTTCTGATAAAAAAAGAAGGGAAATCTCAAAAAGTTATTATTATTATAAGGGTCCTTACGAGGTTTAAGGGTTTACGGGTTCAGGGTCTTTTTTAAGGGTTTAACCGTTTAAGGGTCTTTTTAAAAGGGTTTCTGTTTTAAAGGGTCTATCTTGAAGGGTTTTAGGGTTTAAGGGTTTTTTTTTTTTTTTTTTTTTAATTATTTTTTTGTTGATCTTGAAAAGTCTAAACAAGGGAATGGAAATAAAAAACCTGCCTGCGATCTTTAAGTCCTGTTAATCATAGTAACAAAAAAAGGAAAAAGAAAAAGAAAAAAAGAGTTATTATTATTAATCTAACAATAATTAAGAAAGGCTGCGTTCCACAAGAGAGTGGTAGCGACAGGGGTATTTATTTATTTATTTGTATAATTATATCCATTCGTTCATTCATTCATTTATTCATTCGTTTACTTATTCATGTATGCAAGTACAAATTAAATTTAATTATTTTTTATTATTTATTCAAGGAGGAAATCGTTGTGATTGAGTTCATCGCGCCATTTCCATCTTCCCCTTCTTCGACATGTCACCCCTTCGTTGTCTCCTTCAGCTTATCCGTTTAATATTTATTTTATTCATTTATTTAAGGCGGGAAATCGGTAGAATTCATTCATCCCACCTTTTCCAGCTTATCCGCTTATTTATTTAATTAATTTATTTAAGGCGGGAAATCGGTAGAATTCATCCATCCCACCTTTTCCATCTTCGTCTCTTCTTCCACATCTTTCCCCTGTCGACGTCCCCTTCATCTTATTATTATTATTATTATTTTTAACTAATTTATTTATTTAATTTAAGGCGGGAAATCGATGTTGTCGAAATCATCCACTGTGTTATCATCCCCCTCTTCGTCTTCGATACTGTCGCCATCGATGTTGTCGCCCTTCATCCTCGTATTCTTTTATTTTATTTATTGACTTAGTTAGTTAGTTATTTAACTTATTCATTGTCGCCTTCATCCTCTTATTCTTTTATTTTATTTATTGATTTACTTAATTCCTTATTTAACTTATTCATTTATTTTATTTTATTTTATATTATTTAAGGCGGGAAATCGATGTTGTCGAAATCGTCCATTGCGCCACCATCCCCCGCTTCGTCTTCGATATTGTCGCCATCGATGTTGTTCCCGTCATCCTCTTATTTTTTTATTTTATTTATTGATTTATTTTATTTTATTTTATTTTATTTTCGGTGGGAAATCGATGTTTTCGAAATCGTCCAATGCGCTGTCATCCCCCTCTTCGTCTTCGATATTGTCGCCATCGATGTTGTC